GACCATATAATGGGGTGAACAATGGGGTAAAACTTGTGAAAACCATGTGTTTGAGCCGTAGGTTCACAGCTCAGCTTCATTAACTTTCCTCACTAAAGGAGAGCTTGAAAGAAAAACTAATTTATTGGGGCATGTGAATACCTTCACCCTAAAATCCACCATGTCAATCTGCAGACAAAACACAACACTGTTATTTTTGTTTCTTTATTTGGCAAAGCTATCTGATTAAGGGGCACGATAATGTTTGAAAAAGAGCCCATATTGTGAGTTGTGGACTAGCATGGGACTCCATTTGCAGTATTCAGATGGAACTTAATAGACAGTGACTGCTTTACTCTAGGGATGATAACATTTAAATAAACAGCACATTGCATACTCACCACAGACCTGGCCAAACATCCCACTCACTGATAGCTAGAAGCGTTTAGCCTCATGCTGTTTATGGTACCACATGTTTATTGGTGTTGATCCAGGTATTAACTCGGCCTTGTTTCCCACGAATCTCAAGAGAAAGTGAAAAGAATATGCTTACAGATAATTACTATCCCATAGACGACAGTCTCCGAAGAAGTATGACTGCATTTAAGTTTGATCATGATTTGTTTGAAAAGGGCATGAAGAACTTGTTATGGATGATGCAGCGTAAGAAAGAACTACTCAGAGCTTTCTTCTTATTGCTTGTTCCTTCAGGGATGATTGTAATGATAAAGCAAGGCGAGTCTGGGAAAAGGTTTAGAGTCCTTATGGTACTGGCAAACAGCCAAGTGCCATTTCTTGGTCATGTGTGGCAAAACATTTCGGTTTATACTATGTTCCACGATGCTGTCAATCAAACACACTCCTCCTCTACACTAAGAAATAACGTAATGTGTTTTGTATCTAAAATAACGTCCATGATTACTAGCATTTAAAATAAATGCTAGTCATACATTATAGTGCATTCATTTCTGTGTGGAAAATATACAGAAGCAAGTTTTTCCACTTTAAATAAATAAATACATAAATAAAATAAATTAATTTTAAGAAAAAAGTCATGCCTATGAGATAAGAAGTCAAAATGATGACATAAAAATCTGAAATTTTAATGCCATAATTGACTTTTTATCTCATAATTTCAACTTTTCATGTCATATTTATAATTTATCAAAGCATGATTTTTTTCTTATATGTGGTGGAAATGGACTACCATAGATTTCTGATATGGCGCTTTGTATGGAACTAGCGAAAGTAGTGCCGGATTCAGTTATCCTTTTGAGTGGACAGATATCTAGTGTTGTGTAACGCTGAGTCAACAGAGTATTCACCTCACTGAATACAACATTTAAGGATTAGATCAGACAGAAATAGTTCCTTAGGGAAAACATTGAAGTTACCACTTTATACAGTGTGTCTAGGTGTAAATAACAATGGAAAAGAGCTTTCACAACTGGAAATTTGTTAAGTTATTTTGCTCTGACATCTGATATTTACCTTTCTCCCTAAAAAGTTCAAAGTAAATGGAGTCAGACAAATCCAGATAAGCCTAAGGCATATGAGGTGGGCTTCCCAGGTGTAGTCTGGATATCATTCACATTCCCTGAAGAAAAAAATACTGACACTGATCACCTTGGTCTTTTCTAAACAGCTGTATAAATGAATAACATGTAAAAGGAAAAACCTAACAGATTATTTTTTTCAGCCTAAGGAAGTACTGTAGATTCTCGGGTCAGTTCCCATCCTCTGTACTTTAAAACCGAGTTCTGTGGAGGGTCAGCACTTAAGGGACTCCTGTGTGTCCAGGGGCCTTAAGTCCCATAAATACACAGTGACCCAGAGGTTTAGAAGATTTCCATATGATCCTGAGGAATAATCATCAAGAGCCTGATTTTTATAGTGCCAGCCTTGATCCTGAAACGGATGCTCCATGTCTGCCTGTTACTGAATTAAGAAAGAACAGTTTCCTTTTTCAAGCATTCCAAGAATAAATCACATTTTGGATCTTATTACTTTCACTTGGAAAAGATCTGTTATATGACATACACTACTGTTCAAAGATGTTGGGACAGTATGTTTTTTGTTTATCTTTTTTGAAAATTAAAGAAATTAACACTTGTACTCAGCAAGGATGCATTCATTTGAAATGAAGTGAAGTTTGAAGTGACTTTATAATAATAATCAAACCTCGGAGTACGACTACAATTCAACATTCAAGTTCTCGTTCTTCAGTAGGTTTTCAATTTTCACAATTTTAATATAATTTCACATTTTATTACCTAAAAAGTTTCACATTTACATAAGGTTTGTTTAAATTTGACCATTATGTTCCTCAGACTTGATCAGATTAGTAAGTATATCAGCTAATGGCAAGTGGGCCAGAGACCCCACTTGTTCTAGTCATAGACCCCTTGGTTATCTCTACCATCAGACTGAGGGCTGAGGGGTCACCTATAATTGCACCCCAGAGTGTCATTTATTATTACAGCAAGATGTCGACACCTCCATGACACTGAACAGGAATTAATGATTTAAAATAAATCTTAGTCATACACTAATTATGCAAACATTTCTGTGGAAAAGTATGAGAAATGTACAAAAGACGGGGGGTTGAAGTCGTAAAGTGCCTTTTTTCCCTTTAAAATTATTAAATACATAACCGTTTTCGAAAATGTAATAAAATAATTTTTTTAATTCTAAAATAAAAAAAGCTAAAATAAAAATGTACAACATGCTGTTCTTTTGAACTTTCTATTTATCAAATAATCCTGAAAAAATGTATTACAATTTCCACAAAAATATTAAGCAGCACAACTGATTTCAATATTGATAATAATAAGAAATGTTTCTTGAGCATCAGATCAGCACATTACTGATTTCTGAAGGATCATGTGACACTGAGGACTGGAGTAATAACTGATGAAAATTCAGCTTTGCCATCAAAGGAATAAATTACATTTTAAAATAAATAAAATGTATTTTTTTATTTTAATAATATTTCACAATCTTATTGTTTTGCTGTATTTTTCATCAAAAATACAGCCTTGGTAAGCATGAGAGACAAAAACTTCTTGTAAAAAATCTTACAGAGCCCAAACTTTAAATGGTGAGTCACACTAGTAGTAAGTTATCAAATCTAAATAATTTCTGAGAAAATGTTGCAGAAAAATATCTGTTAACCAAATGTCTTCCTGACCTCTTGAGCCTGACAGAACCAGCTTCACAGACGTTACTGCCGACTCTTCATTCATTAACATCTCAGTCTCTGGTAATCTCACAGTATCACATATGTCACGAAAAGACAGGATGCTTGGGAAAAAAGAAATGTCCTGGTGAATAGTCTCACATAACTGACAAATGGCAATAGTATGTGAGAAGCAATACAAAGATCTCAAGTTACTGACACTGCTTCTTTTCAATGGGAAACAATGTCCTCTATGGTTTAGTGAGGTGACTGAGCTGTGATGCAGTGAAGATGGCCAGATAATGTTCAAAGCATTAATTGTATTTGTGAAATGAAGACAAGTCATAATTGATGGCTAACATGCTGTGACAGTCACTTTCTGACTGGTGTGAATGTAAGATCATCAGAAAGACAGACATGTTGAGTGATCTGTCCAGAAACTCACCTCCGCATTGCTTGCCATGTAAAATTTGACGTTTTTAATTTTTTTTTAATAAATAATAGCTAAATCTAATCTGCTTTGTTTTCGCAGGTGTCGAGGATGACCAATATAATTTTGACTATGATTCCAATCAAACCTCGGAGTACGACTACAATTCAACATTCAAGTTCTCGTTCTTCAGTAGGTTTTAAATTTTCACAATTTTAATATCATTTCACATTTTATTACCTAAAAAGTTTCACATTTACATTAGGTTTGTTTAAATTTGACCATTATGTTCCTCAGACTTGATCAGATTAGTAAGTATATCAGCTAATGGCAAGTGGGCCAGAGACCCCACTTGTTCTAGTCATAGACCCCCTAGTTATCTCTACCATCAGACTGAGGGGTCACCTATAACTGCACCCCAGAGTGTCATTTATTATTACAGCAAGATGTCGACACCTCCATGACACTGAACAGGAATTAATGATTTAAAATAAATCTTAGTCATACACTAATTATGCAAACATTTCTGTGGAAAAGTATGAGAAATGTACAAAAGACGGGGGGATGAAGTCGTAAAGTGCCTTTTTTCCCTTTAAAATTATTAAATACATAACCGTTTTCGAAAATGTAATAAAATAATTTTTTTAATTCTTAAAAAGATGTAAAATTATCTAGCAAATTCAGTCTAAAGGGACAAGAAAAGTCTCAATATATAACTATAGGAATGAATTAAAAGATCATATCAATATACTGATCATCATCAGTGATAACATATATTATAAATATTATGTCTTTTGTAGATAGATTTCATACTTTGTACGTTTTATGAATCTTTATGAAAATAATTTATGAAAGTCATACATTTATTCAGCAAGGATACAATCAATTACATTATAAAACAGATAACAGTACTATTTTCTGTATTGATCAAATAAATGCAGAGACGAACTTATTACAAATACATTAAAAATCATTCAAACTAACCTCAAACCTTTGAACGGTACAGTAGTGTATGTGTATATTTATTTACATGAAGCTTAACCATTGCTGTTTTTTATGACCCACTGTATTTGTGTCACTAGGCAATGCCAGCAGTGAAGAACTAGAGAAGTTTTTAATTGGAAGAGAAACAGAGACAGAAACAGAAGCAGAAAATGTCATACATTTATTCAGCAAGGATACAATCAATTACATTATAAAACAGATAAGAGTACTATTTTCTGTATTGATCAAATAAATGCAGAGACGAACTTATTACAAATACATTAAAAATCATTCAAACTAACCTCAAACCTTTGAACGGTACAGTAGTGTATGTGTATATTTATTTGCATGAAGCTTAACCATTGCTGTTTTTTATGACCCACTGTATTTGTGTCACTAGGCAATGCCAGCAGTGAAGAACTAGAGAAGTTTTTAATTGGAAGAGAAACAGAGACAGAAACAGAAGCAGAAAAAGAAACAGTTGGAGGTGTGCATGAAGAAAAGCCTACTGAGCCCACAATCTTTGATACGGATCAGGTATTTCTTGAACCACTTCTGTTGCATTACATTACGTACATCTTGATGCATTACAATATGCTGAATACACAAAACACTCACATGTGTCACAGCCAATACAGTCCTGAGTAATGTGGTTTGTCTTTCCTGAGAAACAAAGGCCTTGTGTCTTTGAGATGAGACTATGAAAGGCGGCAGGCTTACTTTACCATTTTTGTGGGCGGACAGAACTCCTCCACACAGGACTTTGAAACGCTGGGTTCAGATGTTCAACATCTTAAACCCTGTATTCACAAAATGACAAACAAATTATAAATCTGCTCAATAACAGAGAAGTGTTATCTTCTATGAAAAATGAGAGAAATATGTCACTGACCTGTTCTTGCACCCAGGAAAAGAAACAAACATTGTGAAATCCTGAGTTGCTGAACTTTTAACATATCTGGACGATTTCAAGAGCACATCATTTCCATAAAAGACATTTATGCTATGTGGTGATTAGAAAATAAATACCCATCTCTATATTTAATGCCAGCACTGTATGCTGTGAAAATATCAGTGGAGGAGATAATATTCATGTTTAATGAGTGCAATAAAACTCTGCTAGGTGAAATGACATTTTTTATTAGATTAGCTGCGGTGTGTCTGATGAGACACTATAGACCTGCTGACGCGGCAAACTGGGAGTGAACATGAATGTAAACAGGTGTCCCTATTATTTAAAAAAAACAAACATGAATCCTTTTGAAAGCTCCATCTGCTTCTTATCCTCATGTGTTGGGAAGTTAAACAATGGCTCTGCTCTGCATTAAAGGAAGGCATCTGCAAATAGAGGAAATGCGGAGGGAAAGACAGTCCCAGCGGTGCCACACTCAACCTATTTAAGCATGCACATTTAATTAAACAAGCTACTAATTATACAAAGTCATTTGAATTCCTGTGCGAATGCAAATGCATTTCATTTGCAACATCTGCTTTAAACACACAATGGAAAAAACAAAACATTTTGTCACACTGCTCCACATAGTGGAGAGAACTATAAAACACAAAAGCAGATGATCCACTTGAAAAATTAATGTGTCAACTAGAATCAAATGTACAAACTAGATTGTTGGAAGTACATAAGAGAAGCAAAAATCAAAATGTTTTTTAAAGTCATATAAGAAGATAAGAAGTACACTATCAAACAGGAAGCATTACAAAAGTGTTATCCAGCTCACAACTCACACTTAAATATTGTACATTAAAAGGATAGTCCACCCAAAAATGAAAATTAATTTACTCACCCTCATGTTGTTCCAACCCTGTATGAATCTTTTTTCTTCTGTGAAAAAAAAGAAATGTTAAAGAATATTGGTAACCCAACGGTTTCGGTTCCTACTGATTTTCACCAACATTCTTCAAAATATTCTCTTATTTTTGTGTAGATTATCCCTTTAAAATATTAAACAGAATCTTTTTTCTACTTGAATCTTTCACAAGCTTCAACCACAAGCATTTACAAAATCTCAAGCTTTTTCAGCAGCAGTTTATTGATGCAATACCTTTTTTATTATTATTATTTCAGGCATCTCAGTCAACGCCTCTATGTTCCCTTCTTACTTTGGTTCTGATAGTTCATCCGCTGCTCAGACTACTATAGCAGACACACTGCACATTACAGGACCCTGTTACACAGTCTGAACAGGTAAGTAAAATTAAACCTGAATCTAATAAAAGTCACAATGCAGTGTTCATTTCCATGTGGGAAATTCAGTAAAATAAATGAATCAGGGATGCACTCATACTGAAGTTCTGGCCCATACTGATAAATGACTGATATTAGCCTATATATCTACAATAAAAGGATCAGGCTAACTCTACAAGCTAAAAAAAATTGTATGCACAACATGATGAAGGCTACATATTCCAATTTAAATTAAAAATTAAATCCCGTTTGAATTAAAAAAAGTTTTCACAACAATAGAGGAAGCCATGATGTTTAGGAAGTCATCCTAAACATTATAATATCTAGTGTTTTGAACCATACTATAGTAACGTGTAATATACTGTATGTATTGTTTACAGCACTTTGTTAATGAATGCTACAGCATACTGTAGTATTAACTATAGTGAACTGATAAACTGTAATAAATACCGTAGTATACTTTAGTTTTTACTACAGTAAACTGTAATGTATTGTAGTATAATATACCCATAGTTGTAGAAAACTTAATACAGTATTGGGTAAAATAATTTGTTCAATTTGTACGTTTTACTATAGTTGTTATATTTCACAGCAACTATAGAATTACGACAGCACATTAATTCAAGTACTTTACTATAGTATGGTTCAAAAACACTATAGTATTTTTTTATGAGGGTGCTGTTAAAAAAAAACACTGACCTTTGTGGCGTAGCCTACTTCACGATTTATCTGTATGTAGGCGAGCTGAAAATTGTTGCCGGAAACTAAAAGTTGTGCGAACCCGTCCCACGGTAGTTCGTAGCTGAACGTTATAATCAAAGGAACTGAGTGATTACTTGGGTATTATGTAAAAGAGGTTATGTGTGTTGTCTGAAACGGTGTTTGCTGCGTGTTGAAGTAACACGCTTACTGCTATTTTGTTATCACTCCGACACGGGCATTTAAAAGTAGGAATATATAGACTAATGCACTTAAGGGTTTCTTTACAATATAACCTATAGTTATCCCTTAACGTTAGATGATCTAAATCTTAAAAAAAAAGAAGAAAAAAAGATTAAAAAGTGTATTGTGCATCCCTAAAATTAAATGTATAATATAAACATTAATGTTAAGTGTAGAAAATTGGGTGAGATATAATAGCATGTATGTGAATGCTGAAACAGTGGTGAACAGTTGTGTGATTCTCTTTGTAGCCTGCAGACGGCACTCAAACATTGGTGGTGTAACAGGAGCAACAGTACAGGCGCAATGTACTGTGATTTGAAATGATTAAAATGATTAGACTTCTTGACACTCATTAAGTTGCAGTACATTGCTTTATGTGCTCTCTGCTCTCCACCCAATACAACTGCACTCATCATGAGATATATATCTAGCCAATAAACAAGCGATAACATCTTTTAATATTTTAGACTCAGTAGCTTTCTGTTTCTCCAATTATTCTAGAAGTCCAGGAAGAAGAAGAGCAGACGAACAGATAACCTGAACGAAAGACATGTGGACATCCAGTACAGACAGACACACACATGCACATGCACTCACAGAGCTCAAGCAAACACAACGTTGCATCCATGACAAACCATGACAACACACAGCTTGCAAGCTGTAAATGAAAAGACACATTGTTCGCTATTCTTTGTCACAGCAAAACAGACGCACAGAGGTCAGAGGTCTCATAGGCTGGATGAGTGGAATGGAATATGAATGTGAAATAAGGCTAAACTAAATGACAGGTTCTTTTGTGGGTATTTGTTCAGGTTGTGACTCAGAGGTGATTTGAGGAGCCTGAATAACAAAGAAACTGAGAAAAACAAGATATTTCTCTTTTTTAATGCACAGATGTGCAGGCTGTCCACTGTCATGTAAAACAATGCCATTTTTGGCAATAATCAAAATAATTTTAATACATTTGTCTCTTTTATGAAACTTTGTTTAAGCATATTTTTTTTATCTATAATGTGCACATCCTTTGATTGCCATGACAAAAATACATGTGTCAAAGATGTAATTGAGACACAAGAAAATCCGTCATTAGTGTTACATAATGTACAATTTTAGTATGCCAATTTTATCTTAAAGCAAAGCTTTACACAAACTAATTTGGATTCACGTTATGTTTGGGAAACACACTGAAGTTTTACAATTAGACTCAGCTTTTCTAGTCATTTTAAGCATCATGACCTCTTGCAGATATTATATGTAGGCACTTTCCTTCACCACTGCACTTCTAAGCCTCACTATTTCTTCAGTAATCCTCGATACAAGCACATTTTTTTTTCCCAATACAACTGCACTCATCATGAGATATATATCTAGCCAATAAACAAGCGATAACATCTTTTAATATTTTAGACTCAGTAGCTTTCTGTTTCTCCAATTATTCTAGAAGTCCAGGAAGAAGAAGAGCAGACGAACAGATAACCTGAACGAAAGACATGTGGACATCCAGTACAGACAGACACACACATGCACATGCACTCACAGAGCTCAAGCAAACACAACGTTGCATCCATGACAAACCATGACAACACACAGCTTGCAAGCTGTAAATGAAAAGACACATTGTTCGCTATTCTTTGTCACAGCAAAACAGACGCACAGAGGTCAGAGGTCTCATAGGCTGGATGAGTGGAATGGAATATGAATGTGAAATAAGGCTAAACTAAATGACAGGTTCTTTTGTGGGTATTTGTTCAGGTTGTGACTCAGAGGTGATTTGAGGAGCCTGAATAACAAAGAAACTGAGAAAAACAAGATATTTCTCTTTTTTAATGCACAGATGTGCAGGCTGTCCACTGTCATGTAAAACAATGCCATTTTTGGCAATAATCAAAATAATTTTAATACATTTGTCTCTTTTATGAAACTTTGTTTAAGCATATTTTTTTTATCTATAATGTGCACATCCTTTGATTGCCATGACAAAAATACATGTGTCAAAGATGTAATTGAGACACAAGAAAATCCGTCATTAGTGTTACATAATGTACAATTTTAGTATGCCAATTTTATCTTAAAGCAAAGCTTTACACAAACTAATTTGGATTCACGTTATGTTTGGGAAACACACTGAAGTTTTACAATTAGACTCAGCTTTTCTAGTCATTTTAAGCATCATGACCTCTTGCAGATATTATATGTAGGCACTTTCCTTCACCACTGCACTTCTAAGCCTCACTATTTCTTCAGTAATCCTCGATACAAGCACATTTTTTTTTAATTTTGTAATGGATTTATTATTATAAACATTTTTTTTTACAAATAAGGATGGTGATTTACACCAAAATGCACATGAATTTGTGAGCCAGTTGAGCTTTTTTATGTGTTGTTACCAATACTGAATAAATATTTTTTCAAGTAATAAATTGCTGTCTTCATTTCTCTAATGACTGAGATCACACAGATGATACAAAACATGCTGAAAAAAATGCATTATTCATTATTCAGAATATTATGTCTGTTAAACCTGATCAATTTTCAAATGCAGTCACATTGTTCTGTATTCAAAGCAATACATACACTCCTTCATCAATAAGGAGGCAAACACTATTCTGGGTCACATTCTAAGAGATAGTCAGTGGTTAGTCAGCATTAGTCAATTAAAAGCACTTGAAAACATGCCACAAATGTGTCAGGAATAGCCTTTCTGTATCAACATCACACATTAACTTCCGGCCTCTTTTCTGCACTTCTTCATTTAACTGCTGACAGTGGGTGTCAATCAGATCATTAAAACAGGAGAAAAAAAATCATGCAGCCTGTACATGCGTCAGCCGGTTTCAGCATCAATCTGTAAGATATTCATGATTTTTAGCTGTTATTCAGCCTGAGTCAATAGGTCAGTGGGAGAAAACACAGACAGAGGCGTCTAGGGGCTTATAAACAAACAGAGTAAGGTCAGAAACATTGTAATGTGGCTCAGCGCTGATGACGACAGGCAATATCTAAAATGGATTCTTATCAGAACTCTTCAGACAGCTTATGTTCTGTACTGCTCATTTTAAAGCAGCTCTCTGAGATGTGCATCCGATAAAGGGAGCCAGTTCTGCTCCGGAAGATCTCACTGGCTGAATCTGACGTTTTAGTCAACCGATATGTTCTCTTTTCAAAGACTAGCTCTTAAAGGATAAGGAATGAGGAATAGATCAGACTGACTTCCAGACAGGGTACCAGACTACAATTGTTCAGATAAACTGCAGTCTTTTCTCTGCTGAAAACAATAGAAACCATCACATAAGTTCAAATGCTTTTCACTACAAATACCATATACCTAACATTACAAATCATCAACTGTTAACCATTAAAACCATTACCTGTAGTGTTTTGGGCCATATTCCACTTTATTTAATGGTTTTAGTTTACTACCAATAGAAGGCAACACAATAGCAGTAGAGACCCACAGGGACCATTACAGCTTCCATTTAAACTAATACAATTCCTATTTTAACCATCAACACCGTTACAAGGGATTCTATTTTCTCTTTTCTTTCAGCGGGGTTCTCTGACTTGCTCACCAAACATAACTTTTCAGGGCATGTGCGCAAAATTATAATTGCAAAAGTGTTGCTCATTGTTGAAATACGCTTAAAATAATCACATAAGATGAAAAAACCCCAGATATGGTGGTCTAGAGACAGAAATCATCCCCTAATGTTGAGATCACATGATCAGTAGCATCATGCAATTGACTAACTTTTAATAATAATAATAGCAAAAACTAAAACTTCATTTAGCATTTTCAGTAAGTGGCTTAAGTGCATCAAAAGCATATCTGATGTTGTTATGAAACAAACAACTTTGATTTGAATCAGTGAATCAGTTAGTAAACCAATTTCATGCTTGCAGACCAATCAGTGTCAGTAAAGAGTTAAAAACCACTGGGTGCTACTGGGATGAATAAGAACCAGATAAACAAAAGCTACTTTTAAGGAGCTATTTATGCCTGACTTGTCTGTGAAAATGACTTTTGTTGGTGTAACCTAATGTAGAAAGGTTGATTCTTTTATATTAAATCATTGAATCATTAAAACAAAGTGTAGTGAGGTTCATTGCAAACTGAGAAAACAGGTTCTGTGAGTCTTTTACTTCACTATCATTTAATATAAACATGTATTTGAACAAAGTTATCTACAAAGATCTAATAAAATATATATATATTTTTTTATCTCTGTCAATGTTACTTTTTTAAATTTAATTTGTGAATCAGTGGGTTTATACAGCCAGTCTGATGTTTCATCCAGAATAACTGATCATTCGCACTCATGGTCATGCTCCAGTGATGATTCATTTCAGTCATGTTCTTTGTTTTCCTGCCCCATTGTGTTTCCATATCAACACTTTCATATCAGTTTTGACAATTGTAAGGTAAAGACCAGCTGAGGACGGCGAGGAAAAGGAGAGATGAGGCGAGTTTTTCTTCATCTCTCTCACTGCACAGTCAGACCACTTTCAGTTCTGTTCTAAACAGACCAAAGCCAGCAGAATCAGAAACGTGATTTGCCACTGTAATTGATCAATGCAAGCAAAAATCTGGTGGGACTTGGACACAGTTACAAAGTATCACTTCAGCTGATGATGTCACAATGCACTCTTCACATCCTGCCTTTAAAAACTGTTGAGTTCTGTCTGTTAAATCTATTTAATAGATTCTGTGATGTGTTTACATTGTGATTCATATCCTTTGATGGCAAATTAATTATGTGACTTCTCTCTGGACATTTTCTTGGCATGTCATATTTAATTATCAGATCATCAGTGTAAGAAATGTTTGCTCCACATTAAGTGTGGTCTTGACAGGTTTATTCTAAGTTCATTTGAAGCTCTGTTCTCAAGGTTCTTTTTTTAGTATGAAACTGAAAAAAATGACTAAAATTATACTTTTAGGGTTACAGCAGCTTACCAGTAACCTTAAACAGACAGTTCACCCAAAAACGAAAAGTTTATCATCATTTACTCATATGGGTTTTTCTGTGGAACATTAAAGAAAATACTTTAAAGAATGTTGGTAACCAAACAGTTTTGGTTCCCACTGACGAAAAATACAATGGATGTCAGTAGGAAGTGACATAGGAATTCATATAGGTTTGAAATGACTTGAGGATGAGTAAATGATGACATAATTTTCATTTTTGGGCAGACTATCACTTTAAATTGACATCTTGGTAATTTTAGATTATCTTTCGGATTTAATTATAAAACCCTTTATAATCTATAATAACATTAAACTTATTTCATATTTTCTCTAAACCTTTTTGGATATTAAGACAATTCTGGCCAAATGAAAGAGTTTAGTTTTTATTAGGTAACTTTACATTCAATTAGTTTTTAAAAGGTATCTTTACATTCTTAAGGACTCTACGCCACTTACATTTCTTTTCAGGAGCACTTGTGCTCCTACTTAAAAATAAAATAAAAAATACAAAATACAAAATTAGAAACACCTTCTGATCATTGACAGATATTAACCTTCCCAAAGGCGATATTTAACTCCTTAAAGGTTTTTTAAACCTTTGTAATGCCTCTAACTTTATTAAATGTGTCATCTTTTGTGCCCAAAAATTTAAAAAAAATTTTTTATGAAAATTTTAATCATCCAATAAATTCATTTAAAATAATAAGATACAATCAGGAAGAATAAGTTACTAGTCATATGAAACCAGCATCAACAATTCATCTCTGCACAGCACAGAAGAGCACACATGTGGTATTAAAGAATATTTACAGACTTTTTGACAAGACTCAGAGGTGGAATTAATGCATTTCATAATAACAATGTTATGAAATTAATGTTTTAAATATAAAGTTTTGAATATAGAAATATTAAAGGAGACATACTATGCCCCTTTTTACAATATGTAATATAAGTCTCTGGTGTCCCCAGAATGTGTCTGTGAAGTTTCAGCTCAAAATACCCCACAGATCATTTATTATATCATTTTGAAAATGTCTATTTTGAGTGGAAGCAGAAACATGCTGTTTTTCGTGCCTGTCTCTTTAAATGCAAATGAGCTGCTGCTCCCCGCCCCCTTTTCCAGAATAGAGCTGCGCCATTACAGCTCGTACCTGCTAAAAACATCGGTTTTGGTGTGATTATCATGTTTATCGCGCTGAAATCATGCGTTTTAAACCATATTAGTTTAAACTTCTGATATACGGTTTTCTGAGTGCACACATCCAAAGCACACGGACTGAAAGCTGCTGTCACAGCATGTGAGTACTAAACTAAGTTCTCATTCACACAAGTTTACGTTAAAAACACACATGAGTTACAAAAAACAGTCGGTTATGTCTGTGAAGGTAAACAGCTTGGAAATAAATCGCAGGTTTATTTTAGATCTGAGTGGCAGCAGCAGTAAATAAATGCAGCCAAAGGCAGAACAGTTAGAATGTTTTGCTCAAACTTTCACCATGGCGTTAGAACTGGTACACCGTTGTCGCTTGCTAAATCAAAATGACTGCGCCGTGGGTGGAAATTTACAGATTAAGGGGCGGTAATATTATAATAAAATCCCTTTGCCACGTCACCAAGGAAGCGAAATCAGACGCGCTCGTTTTCTCAGATGCTTGCAGAAAAAGGCTTCCAAAAACAAAGTTACTGGGTTAATCTTTTTCACGTTTCCTTGGTTGGTAGATGCACCGGGGACCTGACTATAGCACTTAAAACCTGGAAAAGTCAGATTTTCATGATATGTCACCTTTAAATGATTTAAATTACTCAATTTATACTTTAAAAATAAAACAGAAACCGCCAGTAGGTGGCAGCAAGTCACCGTCTTTGTCACTGAGTCATTAATTCAATCGATTCTTTCAAACGGCTGATTCATTTAGGAATGAAGCAAAGGTGACTCTCTTTATGAATGGGTCATTGAAACATTGACTCACTAGATTTGTTCGAAAACGCAGATTCATTCATAAATGAAACAGCACGCAGTGTTTGCTTGAAGATGCACAGCAGCTCAGCTGTGACTTTGTTTGGAACTATTTTCGTTGACGAAATAGAGCACAATCAGACAGTAGTGTTCCTAAAATGTAAGCCACTTAATATGAACTTTTGTATAAAATCAAAAATGTCTATAAATTCAATTTCACATTTGCAAACTCCCTTTAAAAGCTGTAATTCGTCTTAGTTCATCGCGATCTCACAAACTTAACAAAGCTCACTGTACACTGAAGCTATTATTTACATCGACTCTACACTTTGTTTGTAATAATGAATGACAAAAACTGCAGTCTGCTCTCACGATCTGTGCTGTGAAGAGCAGCAGGCGCACCGATAGAGAAGGATTTCTATTGGCTGCAGTCTGCAGGTATTATGGCCAATCACAAAAAAATCTTCTGAATGGATAAAATATAGAAATCATTTTAATTAGCAAATAAACCTAACCAGTTGGAAATGAAACGCTGTCCCCCCTCGAAGTTCACTCCCCGGACTCCGTCCCCCCGGGGTTTTTTATTTTCCCAGTAGAATTTTGCCAGTGAAAAACTATTTGAAGGAATTGACAGGATTTTGTTTGATTAACACAATACATTTCCTAGTTCTTTAAAATAGCTTAGAAATGTAAAAGAAAGATTTACTGATTTTGTATACAGGATAAGAGCTGGTGCTGACAAAATATCAACACACAACCCCAAGAATGAGCATTTAGGAACCTTGACACTATCTATGGTTGTATCTGAATGGCAAATATGGGACACACATAGATGCTCATGTTTGTGTGCAATAGTGGCATTCACATTCATGGACTGATTTGGGACGTCATACATTTTGTATAAACCTGGCTCCTCTGTGTGCTCCACAAGGTTACTGTGCTAACCAGGTGAAGGGTTGAATAATGGTCTGACAATCCAGAGATGTGGATCTGTGGCAGATCCAGCGCTGCTGAATAATGCAAGGAGCAAACAGTCAGCACACACACATTAACACACATGCACACACACATATACATCTCTCAATGAAGGACCACTCAGTATCAGATATTTAAAATATCGGCTGTAATTTGTGTTAATTACAGTAAATATCAGTTTTACTCCGATGTTGATACTTGGACTGTTTTCAATTTTTAATACTTGGACACTTTTTAAACTGATGATAATGTTGAATATTAATAATACATTTTTCACCTTTCTGACAATCACATCACATAGAGAGCAAGTGAATGGATTTCAGTGCATTACATACATAAATTTCTGTGGGAGGTTAAAAATTAAAGCAGTCCTAGCTCTGTTAAAAGACCAGTTCACCCAAAATCGAACATTTGCTTAAAAATTATAAGGACATCCAAGATGTAGATGAGTTTGTTTCTTCATCAGAGCAGTTTTGGAGAAATGTATCATTACAGCACTTGCTCACCAATGGATCCTCTGCAGTGAATTTTTCACTGGAGAAATCAATATTAAATATGTTAAAAACACCTTAATAATGGATTTGTTTCTTAAAAAAAGCTTGTTAATTGGAGTCACAAGAATTACATGTAGATTATTGCAATGTTTTTATCAGTGGTTTGGACGCTTATTCTGATGGCACCCATTCATTGCAGAGGATCCATTGGTGAGTGAATTAAATAATGCTATTTTTCTCCAAATTTGTTCTGATGAAAAATTTGCCCTGAGGGTGAGTACATTTTCTGCAATTTTTCTCTGTTTCTTTAAGGTGACAGAACTGATTAACATGAACTCTTGACTACGTAAAGATGAAGTCCCTATGGACTAGTGGTAGATGTATTGATGATCTGGTATGGATGAGCCCCTTATATGTTCACACTTAAATAAATACATTTGTACCTTCCCTTTAATGGCTCCCGCTCTTCCGTTTTCACAAGAATGTGAGCTTTGGCATGAGAAGAGCGGAGCTTTAATTACGAGGTGCTGAGAAGATGAGTGACTCCCCCAGAGGAGAGAAATGAGACACACTGAGGTGGTGAAAATGTCAGACATCTGACCGCACCTAATCAGAATGTACGACATTGTCGAAGATCTGTCTTTATCCTGTCATGGTCTGCTCAGGACCTTATGGGGAAAATATCCAGAGTGAAATAATGAGTAAGAATTAAGAGAATTCTTAGAATGCTTAGAAATTAACTGTGAGATAATTAAAAAAAAAAAATTAATTATTAGCTATGCTTGATCCTTCAGTTCATATTTGTCAAGTAATTATTTTAAAAGAGATTTAAAATAAAAAAACGGACAAAAGGCAAAACTACTTTTAATAAAAGAATTACGTAGTCAATTTAAGAGATAACAGATTCAGAAAAACTATAACATATGAGATGTAATCTGTAAAATGTTTTTCTTTTGACATCACATTTAAATATCTAAACTTGTGATGTTGGATAACTATGCTGTCATTTCATCACAGCACTTTTTGCAGAAACATTCTGTCCATTCATTTAAGATGCCAAATACTCACATACTGCACCACAATTCAAAAACAAAAAACTGTGTTGTCAAACAAAACATTTGACACGTTTCAAGTTAATCTTGGCATACAAAGGTCAGAACAAGGCAGTGTTGGATGAAAATTGATCCATTTTTATTCTGAAGAGCATTGACAGATGAGATATAGGTCAGATGTATATAGGAGAATGGCACCTGACGAAATATGGTCACAAACCAATGTGACACCTGGACATATATAATATTCTATGTGTGAATATATATGTGGGCAAGGGCTTTTATATTTTTATAGATAATTATATGGTGAATATATTGGTGAACTGCCATTGCCAATTAGAGGTGTGTAACCTTCTAGACATCAGTGGAATTGACTGCCCACTCACAGAGGTGATTCATAAAACCTTTCATTAAAAAAAAAATACTTTCATTGATGCTCATGTTTTTACAGCACGCATTTACTGTTGTCGACTCTTTAGCTATTGTGCTCACTGTTGCTAAAGGTTCACAGAACTTTTGATACAACAACAAACAGAGAAAATGCCAAGACTGACTTTTAAATACATGAACGACACACTTATGGAGTTATGCAGTTTTAAAGAGAGAGAAAAGAATATAAAGACATATCGTACTTCATGATCTTACAGGTCATTTGTTACCCTTTTTGGGCATCTTAATGTCACAAGGTTGCTCAATTTACCTAAATTCACTTCACACTCTTGAAAATGATCTTTAAAAAGGTCCTAATTGGCATTTAGATTCATGAAGAATCTTACATCAAACCTTTCATCCCTTGAATAAAGACCATTGGAACCTTTTTTTAAGATTATGTACTTAAATGAAACAGTGTTCTTTTCATTAAGTAAAGAGGACAAGATGCATGATTACATTCAACCAGTCATTTCAAACAATTGCATACCAATAACTAAATTAAATAATTTTTCTTAGCGGACAAACAGCGGATTTAAACTGCACGGATGTCAAAGCGATATCATCTCTGATTCAAACCGACTCCCAGCTGGTTCTTTAAAAAAAACAGCCTACTGAATACGGATGCAGTGACGTTACGTGAATACATCAGGTAGCAGGAACATCGTATAAATAGAGAAAGTTTCCCAGCAACCCAGTGAAGCAATAGAAAGCGGCAACAAGAGCACAAGCGCCGAGAAAAACTTTCAACGCTCTTACCGCTAAAACAGAAAATAGTTATAAAAAGGATTTTGTATTTTAAATTCTGAGTTTTACCTTACTGACGCCAAAGCATTCAGCACCATGGACAGCGTCCGCGCGGCGGTTTACCTGAGCGTGTTCCTCTCGCTGCTCTGCGTCTGCAGGGGTCAGATGTCACTGGACAACCGACTGAGCGCGCAAGAGGAGCAGTTCATCAAAAGAGACCTGGTAAGAGAATAAACGAGAGTGTCATATGGCATAACTCAACAAGTACATTTTCAACCTGTTGACGCAAAAAAAGTTTCCTACATCTGAAAAACAGTATGTGGGGCAGCGTAAAACAATCAGGATTAAGTTCTCTACCTTGAATGGGTTCTGAAATTTCAAGTGAAGCTATGTTCATCACTATGAAAGCATGAGATTCGCTGTAACTTCGATTTTCATAGTAGAAATAGCTGTTATTAACTAAGGTTTCACTTGGATAAATATAAGAAATGAATCTTTAAATTCTCGTTTCTAATCTATCTGTCTTCGAAATTCATGCTTTCTCTCCGTTTATTGTGTTTAGGCTGAGGCGCTCGATGAACTTTTGGACGGAGATCAGGACAATCGGTTATCTGTGGAGAAAAAAGCTAGTGTCATTCCAAGGGTAAACTCGTTCATTTTTTATGTTTTCTTAGAAATAGCGTTCATCGTCAAGTAGAAGTGACTATACAAGTATCTAATGCGATGCACCGTGTTTCTTAGTGTGATGTGGGGGAGCGCTGCGCCATGAAGCACGGACCGCGCATCGGGCGACTGTGTGATTGCATGCGAGGAACAGCCTGCAATACTTTCTTCTTGCGCTGCTACTGATGGAGCTCGCGCAGCTCTCTTCTCTCTCAGGCACTGTGCTAAGAAACTCGTGACAGCAATGCTTGGGACACCTCATCTATTTAACGCGTGAAATTACATGGGTGATGTATTCATAGTACTGTTATTTTGTTCGTAAACTTGTCTATGTGTATATGATCAAACGTGTTGATTTTAAGTTAATAAAACGTCTTTAAGGCTCATTCGTTCTGAACACTGTCTAATCTAAATGAATTGATGTATACATTCTCTTTGAGTTTATAATGTAACTGTTTAATAAAACCGTAAAAACTGTTAGAATATGGTCTGAAGTGAGTCATTACAGCTAGCCTAATGGGTGCGATCAATGATGGCAACAAGTGTCATCATCAACAGCTAAAATCATCAATCATTGGTTTCTATTGAATCTCATAATAACAAAAGGCTGAGATTTAATTAACTGTGATGGAAATGATGTCAACGATTTTTCGGTGCGCAATCTACCAAAATGGTCTTCTGACGCCTTTGGCGAAGTTAGCGGTCATCTTAATCTTTAAAAGCGTCAGAGGTTTGTTATTATATTTGTGATAGCCTATATCTAATGCAGTGACAGTCCGATACTCATCGGAAATCGCTAGAGATCGTACAGTTGCTGTGGTTAACCTTTATCCTCTCAGTCTCAGGCAAACAAGACTTAGCGAGCGTCTGTTTAGCGCAAAACTTGTAAGATAACTTTTGTGGTTAGTGGTTAGAGAAACGTTGCTTGAAAACGCTGCTGAAATATACGTATAAAATAATGAATAGCCTACTTTACATATTTTTAAACAAAGCTATACATTTTCTCAGAAACACTTTACAATAGCCATAATTAAGAATAACTAGCCTACATTACATAATGCAAGCAGATCCCTGGATGAAAAGCCTGGTCCTAGATCTAGACTCATTCTGTTTCTTAAATCCTCTTTGAAACAAATAGGATTAGGCTGCTGTGAGATCTGTCCACAGGAAATGATGTGGACACCAATCACTATTATAAGAACTGAAGAAAATGTCTCAGAGGGAAGGGAAATCTACATATAATGGCCGTGATAAATCCTCGACAATCTCATCATCAGCTCTTTCAGCAGGGGTGATCAATGTGACGGTGACCGTGCTTTCACCAAGTACAACATGTTCCTGGATCAACTGGAACAACACTCCCATCAACCAGTCAGAATTGAGGGATAACTTTTCAGGAAATATCTGTTTTAGGCTTACAATCAGGGTTAGGTGCTTCTACACCCTTGTTAATCAGCTATCATTTCACACTGTTTTTAGGAATAAATTATGGGTAGGGTTAGGTTTAGGGGTAGGGATTGGGTTAAGTCTATATATTTGGACAGTTGTGTTGATCCAGGAACATGTCTTACTTGGCAAAATCACGGCGACCTCAGCGTGACGTAGAAGCAGGTAAGACCTTAAATCCCACAAGACTTTGCGTGAAAACTCGTGCCGGACCCCTCGCGACTAGAAGCACTCCTACGTGACTATAATTAAAAAATACAATGTCAAATTTATCTGTACTTCTCGTAGCGCTTCACTGTGCTGTATACATTTATTCTAAAATCAGCGGCGTGGATTCAAGACCGCCAGACTACGAACCGACCGGACCGTTCACTGACGACGCGCCAGAAGCGGTGAGTGGAAATAGGCTACTGCGCGCAGGCAATTTGGACCGCAGGTCGTTGGATAATCGGAAAACTTCCTGTTTATTTCAGACAAGAGCTGTGACAGAATATAACGCAAATCTTCAAAGACAGGTCGTTTTGAAGAGAAAGTTCAACCGTCTTCCAGGCGTATGCAGACGTCTCAAAAGGAGGAGGATAACCATTCTGGTACTGTGACAAACACGACTGTTGTGTATGTTCTGCATGAAAGTAACATAACTCATACAAAATTTTGGATTTAAAGGGATAGTTCAATTAAACAATAACGTGTTATTATTTATTCTCCCTCAAGTTGTTTCATGCATGTTCTGAATGAGGTTCTTAACGATGTTTGTATACACAAACATTGCTGGTAGCCACAGACTTATGGAAAAGAAATACTACACTCTAAAAAATGCTGGGTTAAATACAACCCAGTGCAGGGACAAACCCAGCAATTGGGTTGTTTTGACCCAGCGGTTGGGTAACTACCCAGAAGGTTGGGTTAAACATTTAACCCAACCGCTGGGTCAAAACAGCCCAATTGCTGGGTTTGTCCCCATTTTACCCAACACTGGGTTGTATTTAACCCAGCATTTTTTAGTGTATGGATGTCAATGGCTGTTGAGTTAGAAACATTATTCAAAATATCATCTTTTGTATTCAACAGAAGAAATGCATTCATACACGTTTGGAACAACTTGAGGGTGAATAAATACAAATTATTTTCATTTTTAGGTCAACTATACCTTTAAGAAGGAAGACCACATGAAATAAACAAAAAAAGTAAAACAATGGCTTGTAGCAGAAGTTCCGCAAATTCTTTAAGTACTTTCTGAGAGGCAGACTAATATTTTCTTAGTTGTTACTTGCACTGGGTTGTATTTAACCCAGCATTTTTTAGTGTATGGATGTCAATGGCTGTTGAGTTAGAAACATTATTCAAAATATCATCTTTTGTATTCAACAGAAGAAATGCATTCATACACGTTTGGAACAACTTGAGGGTGAATAAATACAAATTATTTTCAAACTATACCTTTAAGAAGGAAGACCACATGAAATAAACAAAAAAAGTAAAACAATGGCTTGTAGCAGAAGTTCCACAAATTCTTTAAGTACTTTCTGAGAGGCAGACTAATATTTTCTTAGTTGTTACTTGTGTTGTGACACATCTTAATGGTCATTATTTTAATGAGAATTCCAAGTCCCTCGGGTTTTTAAAACCCAGGGTAGGAAACTCTGGGTTCAAGTCAGTGTGTACACTTGAGCAAAAACAGGTGGAGTTGAGAAATATTTCTTACCATTTGCCATTTTGTTCCTCTCCACAGTGTAACACAGCAAAGTTCTGTTCTGCGACGACACGTTCTCAGCATGGCCACATCTGCTCCTGTCCAAAAGGATCAAAGTGCACTCATTTCTTTTTATGGAGTTTGTGACCTCTTCTTTTTTTTTTTTTACTTTCAAACACACAATACATCATTTTCCATCATGACAGAATCACACGACACCAGACAAACTAGGGCAGACAATTCCTTTTTCCCATTTATTCCTCAGTTCATTATCAACAGAGGACAGGAAATGTCACTCATCTTTCATAAAAATACACCTTTTACATTTTAAGTAGATAATTAAAATCAGTTATGGGACAAAGTTCAATCAAAGTTCAATCCTTTTTAACTTGAGTAAAAAGAACAACCACCAATCAGCCTTAATAAAAAGGCATTATCATGTCAAACCAATCATAATGTAAATAAACTTATGGGGAAAAGTTAGAAGGGTTTGTCCCCATTTTACCCAACACTGGGTTGTATTTAACCCAGCATTTTTTAGTGTATGGATGTCAATGGCTGTTGAGTTAGAAACATTATTCAAAATATCATCTTTTGTATTCAACAGAAGAAATGCATTCATACACGTTTGGAACAACTTGAGGGTGAATAAATACAAATTATTTTCAAACTATACCTTTAAGAAGGAAGACCACATGAAATAAACAAAAAAAGTAAAACAATGGCTTGTAGCAGAAGTTCCACAAATTCTTTAAGTACTTTCTGAGAGGCAGACTAATATTTTCTTAGTTGTTACTTGTGTTGTGACACATCTTAATGGTCATTATTTTAATGAGAATTCCAAGTCCCTCGGGTTTTTAAAACCCAGGGTAGGAAACTCTGGGTTCAAGTCAGTGTGTACACTTGAGCAAAAACAGGTGGAGTTGAGAAATATTTCTTACCATTTGCCATTTTGTTCCTCTCCACAGTGTAACACAGCAAAGTTCTGTTCTGCGACGACACGTTCTCAGCATGGCCACATCTGCTCCTGTCCAAAAGGATCAAAGTGCACTCATTTCTTTTTATGGAGTTTGTGACCTCTTCTTTTTTTTTTTTACTTTCAAACACACAATACATCATTTTCCATCATGACAGAATCACACGACACCAGACAAACTAGGGCAGACAATTCCTTTTTCCCATTTATTCCTCAGTTCATTATCAACAGAGGACAGGAAATGTCACTCATCTTTCATAAAAATACACCTTTTACATTTTAAGTAGATAATTAAAATCAGTTATGGGACAAAGTTCAATCAAAGTTCAATCCTTTTTAACTTGAGTAAAAAAAACAACCACCAATCAGCCTTAATAAAAAGGCATTATCATGTCAAACCAATCATAATGTAAATAAACTTATGGGGAAAAGTTAGAAATGTACCTCTGTACCCAAAACCAGGAGAGTAAAGTCTTTCTGAAGATGATGGCACAAAATATCACCTTCAACAAACGAGATGCAGATCCAATATTTAATTTTGCTGTTTAGTGCTTGAAAGTTGCAAAATAAAGAAACAAAAAAATAATAAAATAAAATGGTGGGTTGATTTCAATACATCTCATACTCTTCATTTCAAATCAAGCAGCTTTAACATACACTACAATGCAGTCTTGCATATATCAGTCAGATATGAGTACAGAGCTGGTATTTTTAAGAATGACATTATGAACCAAGATGTTTGTTCACAATTTTATATAAAAGATTTCTTTGTAGGGCAAAGAGTCAAAGTAAACGCCATAAATGGAAAAAAGAAAAAAACTAAAACTTTAATAAAGAGCACCTACAAGTCTCTAAAGAAAGTGTCAAAAACACTATTAAAAGTATATACTGAAAATAAGGATTTAACAAACAGCAACTGCACATATAAAATTAATTAAATTACTGATAATGTTCCTGGAAGAAACATGCCGATGTTAATGGATGGACGAGTGTGTCAGTTTGGAGAAAGTCTGGAAAAAAACATCTGTGATTTCATGAATGGTGGCGTGTTCCAAAATGAATGAAGCCAAATGAACAAACCCCAAAACTTTGATATTCACTGAAACTCACCCTGACTAACATAAACCCATTGTGATGAAACACAAAATCGTATATTCTTTCAAGACTTTGACCATATAGTTCATTCTCGGCTTGAGAAAATACTTGATGTGCTTTTGGATTATTGAAAACATGCAACACACACCCATATTTTGTTCTACTCACATCACCTTCACAGCATTTTAAAAAGAACAGGTATACACAGATCTGTAC